AGGGGTATTAGACTTGCTGGGGCCCAGGGCAGAAAGTCAAAGCCCCACTGCATGGGGCTGAAGCCTGGGGCTTTGAGCCCCGGCACCTAGAGCTGAAACTTGAGCAGTGTAGCTTCTGGGGGCTCCTGTTGCATGGGGCCCCAGGTAATTGCCCTGCTTGTTACCCCTTAATGCCAGCCCTGGCTTTTGTATGCAGAAAACCAGTTGTGGCCCACATGGGTGGGGTGGCCTCAAAGGAAAGGCTGAGAGCCCCTGGTCCACAGCATTCTACTTCGTGTGTCCATAAGGGGGTGGCGGGATAGGGGAGAGCAATTCCTGCTGGCTTTCCTCCCAACCCCCACATTCCATGGGGAGTCTGGGGAGTAGTACTATATATACCCAACCTCCTCCCCTTCCCCCAATTAAGCTAGACTGACACCTTGTTTGGAAGCATGTGGTTCTACTAGTCTTGAATCTTGTTAGACTAGGAAGAACTGGTCAGATTCGGAGTGCTAGAACATAGGGCTAGACCTAGTGAGAGATCAGGCTTCTCTATGCAGTTTCTCTGACTACTCCACCTGTGGGAAGGTTGTTCGCTGCTGCCCTATGGCTGGCCTGATAGTGCTTGTCAAACAGAAGCAGGGGCCTGAAATCCTTGCTGGAATAGGATCATCCAGGCCAGTAGAGCCAAACCAAAGGGGTTTGGTCAAAACATCTTTGAATGAAAAATTCCCCAGTAGTTGTATTCAGTCTTCCATGTAAACAATTTAAATTTCAAACCATTCTATTCCTAACTGAACACTGGATTTGGGAGAGGAAACGTCCCCTTCTAGGGGGGAGAGCAGGGGTGACATTCTGTGGAACTTAGCAGGAAACCAAAACTCCTTTCTTTTCTGTGACTTTCCCTGCCAGCTGCCACCTTAATGTCCTTCACGTCTGCCTGGTTACCCAAGAAACATTCTGTGCTTCCATCACACTTTGCTTGGGGAGCGGGAGATTTCAGGGTGAGGGCAGCACCCCACCCCCACCCCCAAAGTACAAGCTGTCAGAACTAAAGGATAATTGTCTTAAAGGACTTGGCTTGGGCCAAGCTCTTCCTGTTACTCAAACTTGTGCAGTCACATTCATTCATTAGTTCTGTGAGGCCTTATTTTCTGCCCCTCCTTCCCTACCAGGGGGAGACCAGCCAGAGCCAGCCTCTGACTCATTGCGTTCCTCAGTGTATCGCCATTGTGTAAAGGCTTAGTCAAATAGACTCCCAGATGTGAGTTGAACCCCAGCTGCTACTTCTGTTGCTGAGCACAGAGGAGCAAACCCCATGGCAGGCATGGAAAATTGCAGGCAAAGGGGGTAGCAGCAGTGGGGGGGGGGGAGGGGTTGCAAGATCTATGCCTCTGCCGAAGTTAGGCCTACAGCTGGGGATTGAGGGTCCTTACCCAAAACTCTTATCCTGCCAGGACCCTGCCCCTCTCCTCCCATAGTCTGTCTGATAGAATGGGCTGGACTGAGACTTCCTGGCTGTGTCTGCACAGAGAACTTGTGGGAAACATATTTTCCCCCACACACCCTTCCCTCCACACACATCAGCCTTTTGAGCTGCAGATCAGAGACTTCCCTAAAACCATCCTTGTAGACAGGGCCTTTGACTCTAGCAGAAGATGCTATCCCATAACCTGGTAGCTTCATTCTCTGTAGCTGATACACCTGAGATGTTCCCATCTGACTTTCAAACCGCTCTCCACTAATCAGGTGACCCAACATGGGTCACTGCAGCCAGCACCATAAATAACGAACGTGCAGCAGTCCCGAACGTGCCACGCAGCTTCCTTTTGGAACCGCTGCGTTTCTACCCGCTAATGCTGAATGCCTGGCATGTCGTCTGCTTGTCTTGCATTGAGTTCTGCAGCATGCAGGACTGGACGTGGCTATGACAAAAATCATGGTGAATGAGCACTTAGTTCAGTTAAGGCCATGTTGGAGGAGAGGCACAACAGTAAAAATTCTTGCAGGGCAGAGGTGGAGTGGGGGAGGGGAAAGAACTGGTTCTGATAGCAGGTTCACCAACAGGGCTGACTTGAGCAGAGTGAAGACCCTGATTCTGGCCCCTTTGCCTTTAACCTGGCTAAGCTGAGGTTATTCTAACCCGCTGGATCTAACCCCCTAGGATTTCCCCAGCATTAGAGGCTTCTCAGGCAGTGCATTGCTGCTGAAACCCCTCTAAGCCCTAGCAGAGGAGGCATGGCTGGAGTACTGCTGTGCTCTGGCTATTCTGAGCTGCAAAAACTGCCTCCCGAGGCTGTTTAGCTTAAGCCAGGGACTGGACTGGTTCCCAGTTGGCTCCAGAACCCAGGGAACTGCAAAGGTGCACTGAGACCCACAACTTGTTGAGCTGTGTAGAACTGAGCTTAGAAGCAGGGCCAGAGGATGGGAGGTAAGTAGAATCTCTCCTCCAGGAAGAAGGCAGGCTCAAACTGCCCCAAAACTCTTGGTATATGTGAAGATGGGCACCAGCAGTATTTTGCACTGAGGGAAGTTCAGCTGAGAGATGGAGAGCAGTATTGGTGGTACTGACAAGAAGCCAGTTTAGACACGGGTAGATACAATTATGGATTACAAAGCTAGGTAAACACAAAGCTGAAAGCAAAGTGCTAGTGCTTTGCTTATCCTTCCAATTAATCAAGTATAGACCAGACCTAGCTGGCCTCAGTATTGGCTATTAAATGCATGTGAAGGTTTAGAGATGGATCTTTGAAGCCAGGCCCCCCCCTGCCCTGCCCCACCCCACCCCCAGCTATCTCTAACGTTGCCCCTATCAACTTCTCACAAAGGGACACACTTCACCTTGATGTCTGACTAGATAACAGTTGTCTGTCTAGCCTGCCTCTGTCAGGCCTGTTCCCTTCTATGGAAGTGTAGCTTTGGGCCTATCTAATCTAGTGGTGTGTGTGTCCTTTTTTTGTTTGTTTGTTTTTGCAGTTTAATTTGGCCACCACATCCCTTTAATTAGCAATCTGAATGACTCTCTGAAAATTCTGTGCCAACTACTAGGTGTAACCCTCAAGATTGAAAGATTAGAGGAAAACTAGTCGTTGGCCTGCGCATTTGAAGGCACTTGGTCTAGGCAGTTTTGCTGTCTCTCCCTTCCAGCTCTGCAAGTCTTCAGTTTCAGCTTTGCTACCACTGTTAATAGTGAAGAGGTGACAGGCCGGTTTTATACTGGGGGAGGACCCTCAAACATCAAGAGTGGAAAAAGCCCTTCACAAAATATTCTACTTTATCCCACTGAAGGATGCTGTGAACAAAATGTAATGGCAACGTCATTTTGGTAGACAATGGCCCTTTAAAACACATGCCACAGAGAAATTATGTTGAATGTTCCCACTTTAATTCCGCTCCAGAATCTGTCAAGTTCAGCACTTCATTCTTCCTAATGGGCAAGTAACTTGTTTTCCATAACCAGCCATTTCCATATTCTTCCTAGAAAAACGCTGCCCATCTGGGGCAGCCTGATTGTTCCCTCAATTGCTAGCATTCACTTCAGCAGAGTTACCCCCACAGTTCTGATTCCAAAGCCCAATGGAGAATAGCAGGCTCCAGGAATAGAAGCAAAAGTAGTAGGTTGCTAAGATCTCTTGAAGTCTGACATTGGAATCTTACTCTGGGCCTTTCTTGGCTCCAAAGTGCTGCTTGTGACTCACATCCCAGAAGTATTTTTAGGAAAAAGCTGCCAAGCTTGGTGAGTTTCCCCTTTCCGTGCAGGGATACTTGGCCCAAGTATGTATTGACTAAGCATATTTTCTTGAGGATAAATGCCTGTGGTCAGATGCAAGTGTGGCCTCTCTGTATCTCTCAGGGCCAGACTGGCTTAGGGTGCCATGGCAGCTGTGTTTGGGTAGCAGTGTACAGGAGCAACAGGACAGTTAGAACTACAAGGAGCTGCAGGTGTGCGCAAGCCAGGCAGAGCGGGGGCAATGTGTTGGGATGGGAGGGAGAGAAGCAGGCTGGAGAGTTGGATCTAGAGTGAAAGTGGCCCAGTGCAGACAAGGGGGGGAAGTCTTTAAGGTGCTAGGATTCCAGTTTTAATACAGAGTGCCTTTGATCTGTGCAGGATGCTAGTCTAGTCTAGGCCAGTTGACATCCTTGTTGATCTCTTCCAGCTGACAGGGAAGAGGAGAGAGGCATCTCTTGTGTCCCATCTAAACTAACTTCTGGGGTGGAGGGACCTGACCACAATATGGCATACCCTGAATTCTGTCCTCCTTTGTACAGCCGATGAGGTGCAAATTGTTTCAGCCATATTGCAGCCTCTGATTCCCAGTGCTGCAGCATGACTAGGAAACATGGACGTGCTTTGACCATTAACACCTGCAAGCCCATGCTCTGGTTTTAAGCATGCCATAAGGTCTACAGATGTGGTGGAAAGTCACATAGCTGAGAGAGAAGTTTTGCTAGTGTAGATTGAATAGTTTAGCATCTCTTACACATGAAAACCTCTAGTAGCCAATTGTAACTTCCTCTCGTTCTCGTTTTCATTTGATGGGCTGATCAGGAATAGGGCTGAGTAGCGCTCTCAGCTGTTTGTGGTGATTATTGCAGACTTAGCTGAAACGTTCTGTTCCAACTGCTTTGAGCATCCAGATTAAAATCTTAAATGTCGGGGAAGCTGTTCCGTGGATGCTTGCACAGGCTCTTTTGCAGAAAGCCTATGCACGGGGTACTAGTGCAGCTAAGGGGGATTCACTAAGTAGGCAAACGGTCACAGAATTTTTCTGCAAAACTTGCCCCACTTTCTACCTTGCTGTTGCTATTCTTGTGCTGCTGATTCAATTAACTCATGGGGTCCCTAACAAACATGTTGAAAATTGGCTGCATTAGCGGCTGTTCTCTAATACTCCCTGCTCCTCTGTCCAGTCTGAGCTGGCCTAGGTTGGTTTGGGGGCAGGAGGGGGGGGGGGGGAAGATCAGCCTCATGGGGAGGGGGCTTCTTGCCACCAGATGAGTTTCCTGACTTTCTCCTATAGGGATGGACCTTTCAGCCAATCAGGATGAGGAGAGTGACCAAGAAACCTTTCAACTGGAGATTAACAAGGACACCAAGAAGTGTGCCTTCAGGACCTATACTGGGAAATACTGGACCCTCACCTCCAACGGTGGGATACAGTCCACTGCCTCAACAAAGTAAGTCTCTAGACTGTCTCCTGACCAGTGCTTGTCATGGGCAGGGCATTCTGCTTGGTGGTTGTCTTTGGAGCCAGGGGTCTCGTTTGCATGTAGAACAGAATTGTTCTAGCCTCTGAAGGCCAGCTGTTCTAAGGTGGCTCTGATACCCCAGTACTGGAGTATCGATGCTGGAGTCCAGGGTCCAACTGAAAGCAACTGGTCCATCACCAAGGTTGTCCCTTCCTGCAGGAGGCTGAAATGCCGTTGTCTTCCCTTCCAACTACAAATGTACTCAGTGGATACACAGGCAAGATCTGCTGCTCAGTGAAGGTGTGCAGCATTCCTACACATGGCCCTAGTAGGGTAGTGATGCCATGCCTGATAATAAGGCCGCAACCCTCTGCAAGCATTCATCCCCTTTAAAATAACTTGGGCTAAATGGTCTCTTCAATGGGAGGGGGCAAACAGTAGCTGTTAGCCAGTGGTCTGGAGTGATGAATTGTTACACTGCCTATCTGGAGCAGGCAACTTGCCAAGCTTCACAGAAGACTATAATAATTCCCTTCAGTAGGAATAAATAATCCTTTGCTGTTCCTATCTGAATCCTTGGATGTAAACTAGGCTGTGTGCCAGAAATGGTCCAATATCATCCGTATCTGAAGGTGCAGCAGAATCTTGTGCTTTCTGCTGTCTGTCTTGGTGTCCTTGGGACAAGGGCTGGCAAGGCAAAATGAGACACTATTTATGATCCTCCCTCGCCTACACTGAGTGGTGTTGCACCAAGTGAGACTCCTTACTATTTTATCCAGTCAAACCAGACTGGCTAAAACCCTGCACAAAGCTGGGGGGACTCTGATCACTTGAATTGCAGCAGCTGCCCTGAAAGCATACAGTCGAGAGTCCCTGCCCCCTCAATGTAATTAATACCCAAGAGCCTCCTTGCCATGTGTACCCAGTACCAGATGAATGTGGCTCCACCGAGCTGTGAAACTTGTCACCCCCAAAGCAAAGCCTAGCAAGAGGGTCAGGTTGACTCCAGGTGACTCTTCAGTCCCTCTGCCCAAAACCTCTGTGCAAGTGAGCCTGAGTTTCTGTAACTGAGCACTCTCCAAACCCCTCCTAGCAAGGAGATAAACTAGCCTAGGCCTGAGTTTGCCACTTCCAGTTTGTCCTTAGACACTGCCTCAGCGAATCCCCTTGGATCTCATAATCTCTAACTGCATCCGAGGATAGTCCTTCTGGAACTCGCAATGAATGGATACCCCAAGTCAGGCCTGATGGAGAAACAAGACTCCAGAGTCTCAAATCTAGACTGGAGTCCTAAAGTAGATCTCAGAAGGTGCCTGACCTCCCCCTCCACCACCCCAGAATGTCTTCCTTGGGCCCAGCTCAGGTAAAACCTGTATCGCATCTCTTTACACAGGGCAAAAGCCTTGACTGTCACAAAGGAGACCGTGGACACAAACTCCTAGGGCTGAACTTCGTTGTGCCTGCTGTCCCCAAGGCGATCAGCTGAACAAAGGGGAACTTTATTGCCAAGAATATAGTCTGCTCCACTAACTGCTGGCAGTTCAGACCTAAATTGTAGCCTAAAATTACCCAGTAGACAGCGAAGTTTTTTTTTTTTAAACACTAAAACTCCTTAGAAAAGATGCTGGGATACATCCACCGGAACCCTCTTCAGGATCTCAAACACTAGCTGGCCCGGCTGGCTGTATAAGCCTTTGCAGAATGAGCTCTTCTCCATGGGCCCCAAGCTGGAGCACTGCCCCTCTGTTGGAGGAGAATGATCCCCAGTACAGCTCTTCCCTTCCCAATGGCTTGTCTGCTGTTTGTCTTTGCTGTGGCAGGAATGCCAGCTGCTACTTCGACATCGAATGGTGCGACAAGCGCATCACCCTGAAGGCTGCAAATGGCAAGTATGTCACGGCGAAGAAGAACGGACAGCTCGCAGCCACTGTTGAGGCAGCAGGTGAGGGGATGTCTTGGCCTGTGTAGCCCAGTGATGTCGGGGAAAGTAAGGGTGGGGAAGGCTTGGGAAAGCTATAAACCTCTGACCTCACTGATTGGCCTATGGCTTTGCCCCACCCTCTGGCCTGTGTCAGAGTGAAGGTGGCAGAGCAAGGGAACAGTCTCCTCTCCCAGGCTCTGATGGACCAGACTGGAGGTGGTCAATGGGTTTGACTTGAATCACCCCGAGAGGATAACTTGGGACACCTTGGGGGATCTCCATGGCACATCTCTTGTACTCCTCCCCAGGGAATCTGGATCTGTTCTAACAAGCTGGGTACCTAACCTCCCTTCTCTCCTCCATCCTGTCTTCCGCCCTTTCGGCTGGGTAGGTGAGACAGAACACTTTGTGATGAAGCTGATTAACAGGCCAATCATTGTCCTTCGTGGGGAACACGGCTTCATCGGCTGCCGCAAGGTGACTGGGACCCTGGACTGCAATCGTTCCTCCTACGATGTCTTTCAACTGGAGTTCAATGATGGTGCATACAATATCAAAGGTCAGTCCTGCTGGTATGCAGCCTTGGGGGTTCCACCTACCCACATCTTCCCCTGTGGCTGCATTTGTATGAATAGCCCAGCTGTTCGTGCAGTAACACATGACCAAATGATTTCCTTTCTGCATCATTAGCAGTGATCCTCCCCTAAGGGCTACATGAGTTTAATCTTCTACACCACAGACCAAGGCTGTATGGCACCCTTCCATAGAGTGGAATGACCAGGAGGCTCTGTCTGATCTAAGCTGCCTTCTAGATCCATGGTTGTCAACCAGGGTACATGTACCCCTGGGGATACAGAGGTCTTCCAGGGGGTACATCAACTCATCTAAATATTTGCCTAGTTTTACAACAGGCTACATAAAAAGCACTAGCAAAATCAATACAGACTAAAATTTCAGAGGCAATGACTTGTTTATATTGCTATATATACACTGAAATGCAAGTACAATATCCATCTCAGTCAATTTTATAATTGTATGGTTAAAAATGACAGTAACTCTTCAGCTGTGACACTTTTTTTGTATTTTTGTCTGGTAAGCAAGTAGCTTTTTGAGGTGTAACTTGGGGGTATGCAAGACAAATCAGGTTCCTAAAAGGGGTACAGTAGTCTAGAGCAGTGGCTCTGAGCCCTTCTAGAGTGTGACCATTGGCTTACCACTTGGCTGGAGTGGCCTCAGTCTAGGGGACTCCTTTCTGCTCTCTGCCTCGTTCAGGTTTCCCTTGTTAAGCCGCTGTGCCTAACAAACCCAATCCGAAGCGATGCTGGCATATCAATGAAACCTAAACCTCCTTGCTATTGTACTGTGAATCCTCAGCCTTGTTGCAGAGGGACAACTCTCTGCACCACTTCAGCCATTGGCATCCTGGAGGCTGCCAACAACCAGACACCTTGGACCATAATAAGTTAGCATTTGTCACTGGATGGGGGTGAGCCTGTCACTGCCATTGAACTTGGTCTGGAGACAGAGTGTTGGGTTGCCTAAGTGCTTCTCCTTCCCCCTGTGATTGCAGTGACCCGTGGGGACTCCTGGCTCCCCTAAGCTGTCAGAACCCAAGTTCATTTAGGAAGCGCAGGAAACTTTGAAACAAGCAGGCTGGCCTTGCGTGGCCCTCTCCAGTGTTCACATGGGCAAACTGAACAGCTCAGGCTGCAAAACTGGCTCTCCTTTCAAGTGTCCTAAAGGTCTTTGGCTATTGAGCTGATCTCTCTTAACACTCCAGTACTATGGATCACAACTCATGGGGATTGTAATGGCACCACCTCTCCTATCTGGGATTTCACAACACTTCTTTTTGCCTTCTTCAGTTCAGCTTGGTAGCTGGCAGTAAGGGGAAACTTGCATCATGGGCTCTGCACTATGGCCAACAAGTCTGGGGGGCTGCCAGTGTTTTCTAGCCTCTGGCATCTATTCCAAATATCCTTCATTCAGGACACTGCTTTTCTCCCCTTCCCCACTCCCCGTCTGCAGATTCCACTGGGAAATACTGGATGGTGGGAAGTGAGTCCTCGGTCACCAGCAGCAGCAATACGCCAGTGGACTTCTTCTTCGAGTTCTGCGACTATAACAAAGTGGCTATCAAAACCAACGGCAAATACCTGAAGGGTGACCATGCTGGTGTCCTCAAGGCTTCCACCGATGCAATCGACCCCTCCACCCTCTGGGAATATTAAATGCACTTTAGCTCCCTTCTTGCCAATTTTTTGTTTTGTTTTTTGTTTGGTTTCTCTTTCTCTGTAAAAGGATTTTCAGACTGGCTTGCTGCTCCCTCCTGCCATAGAATCAATGCAATTTGTTGGAGGTTGGTCTTCCTTATCTCTTAAAACTGGATAATGACCTAGGGAAAATGCAACCTGTCTATAGAGCTAGTGGTGACTTTCCTTGAGTTTGTGTTGGGCTTGGAAATTGTAGTTGCCATCCTCCACCCTGGCTCTGAGCATCACCTTTGTTGTCCTCTTCCTCTAAAACTAAAGGGAATAAGATCCCCTCTGCTCTCTTGTGCCATATTGGAGTGCTGGCACCGTATCTCAATCTCCACTGCCAATGCCTGTGCTGCTGTCAAGCAAGGGCTAACTTGAACAAAGCTGGAGAATCTTGAGTGCCAGCATCCCACACTCCTGGTATTTGCTCAGACCAAGGGAGGTGAGATGGGTTATGTTAAATCCCTGTCTGATTAGATGTGCTCTCCACCGTTCCCAGCATTGGGAAGAAACTTTGTCCTTTTCTCCCCACTTGGCTTATGATGGATAAATACCTTCTGCCCGAGTGGGGGCAGAAGAGGTGTTCTAGCATATCATACCCAGCCCATCAAGGGGCTGGTTTCAGCCAGCAAAACAGACCTCGGCTGCAGGACTAGCAAGCTTAACTCTCAGAACTGGAAAGACATGCAGGGGGTTCACCTAGAAACTCTCCTAAGGCCAATCAGTTTAGAAGGCTTCAGACTCCCAGCCCTATCAATGGGATTCTCCTTGTGCCCCAGGTGTGCGTCTTAAGTATCAAAGGAGCTTCTTGGAGCCTCTCAAGCAGGTTCTAGCACATCTCACTGAGACAAGTAGCTGAGAGGCTAATGAAGCTGCCTTAGAGCTAACCCTAGACTTTTGGAAGGGGACAGGCTTTTTTGAATTGATATCAACGGATGCTGTGAGTGGACACGTTGAGCGAGATTAGTAGCAACCCTCTGGCTCGCCTCTCTGTGTACAACTGGGGAAGACTTCCTCTCCAAAAAACTTCTCCCTGCCAGCCAGGCTGGGAATTGGATTTCCCAGTGGCTGTTTGTTTAAAAGGGGTAGTGGAATTTAAACAGGGTGGGCATACCTGCCTATTGGTTAGCAAGGGTTGGGTCTTACAAGGGCTCTGAGCCCCCTCCTCTCCCAGTGTCTTCAGGAGGAGTTGAGTGAGCCTGGCACACAGCGGGACTGTGCCCCACCAGCTGCCGTATCTCAGTGGGTTTTTTGCCCAGCAGCCAAGTCTTCTGGGCTACAGGAGCAGTGTAAACAGGCCGACATTTCTCAGTGGCTGGAAGCAAAAATAGCAGATCTCAGTTTAGAATGGAAAACTTATTAGCAACTTTTGCACAGTGGTATTTGTTCAGTTCTTATCTCATA